TGAGACCCACTGCTCAGAAAAAAAATTCCTTTCAAACTACGACTGCTCATCAACAGTGCACCTGGTCACCCTAGAGCTCTGACGGAGATGTACACGAGATCAATGTTGTTTCCATGCCTGCTGACAGAATCCATTCCGCAGCCCGTGGACTGAGGAGTCACTTCAGCTTTAAAGTCTTATTATTTTAAGAAATGCATATCGTCAGGCTACAGTTGCCTTGGACGGTGACTCCTCTGATGATCTGGGCAAAGTAAACTAAACCTTCTGGAAAGGATTCACTGTTCTAGACGTTGCTAAGAACATTTGTGATCCATGGGAAGAGGTCAGAATCTCAACGTGAACAGGAGTTTGGAAGAGGTTGATTCAACCCTCATGGTGACTTTGAGGGATTCAAGACGTCAGTGGAGGAAGCCACTGCAGGTGTGGTGGAAACAGCAAGAGAACTGGAATTAGAAGTGGGTCCTGAAGATGGGACTGCACTGCTGCCTCTTACAGTAAAACCTAAACACCCGCGGAGCCACTTTTATGGGTGAGTACAGACAGTGGGCTCTTGAGAAGGAATCTACTCCTGGTGAAATGCTGTGAGGACTGTTGAAATGATAACAAAGGATGTAGAGTATTCCAGGAACTCGGCTAATAAACCAGTGGCAGGGTTTGAGAGGACTGACTCCAATTTTGAAAGTTCTACTGTGGGCAAAATGCTACTGAACAGCATCATCCTACGAAGAGATATGGTGAAAGGAAGAGTCAACCAATGCAGCAAATCTCATAGTTGTCATATATTAAGAAACAGCCACAGCCACCCCCACCTCAGCAACTAGCACCTTAATCATCAGCAGCCATCAACACTGAGGCAGGACCCGCCACCGGCAGAAATATGGTAATTCAATGAAAGCTCAGATGATGGCTAGCATTTTTTTAGCAATGAAGTGGTTTTCTACTTAAGGTATGTACAATTGTTCTTTTAGACATAATGATTACTACACACTTAATAGACTACAATATAGGTAGACCTAACTTTTATATGATAGGCACTGGGAAACAAAAAACACTCATTTGACTCACTTTATTGCAATATTTATTTTATTATTGTGTCTGGATCCAACCTCACACTATCTCCAAGATATGTCCGTACAAAGGACATCTGAGACTATAACTTGAAATTACAACTATTGAAAAAAATTTTGGGAATCCACTTGACACAAGTAAGGTCAAAGACCTGTTTGACTCATAATCAAATAGGGGTCTTGCAACATCCAATTAACAGCTTAGAAAGAGAAGTCAATTAGAGCTATACCAGTAAATTTAGAGAAGGAAAAATGTAAAAAATATCACCTAAAATAGCATAAATAAAAGTGAAATACCTATGAGCAAATCTTTTTTTAAAAAACAAATGCAAAGTGTATCAGAAAAAATATGAAACACTTATAAATGGAGAAGAATTCCATACTTATGGGATTAAAAGACTCAGTATTAGAAAAAAGTTAATTCTCCTCCTGCTGATTATATAGCGTCAATGCAATCCCAGTCAATTCTCAGTAAGATTTTTTTAATTGACAAGATAATTTTCAATATACAGACATGCAATAACTAAGATAATTTTGAAGAGTTCAAGGTAAGAGGACTTTCTGAATATGAGGTTTATGACAAAATTACAGTAATTAAGAGAGCATGCTGTTGGCACAAAGACAAATCAACCAGTGGAGTAGAAGAGACAGCCCAAAATACATGGGTCACATATGTGGACACCTGATTTATAACAAAGGTGGTTCTGAAGAGTAGGGGACACAAGGGAGTGGGGGGCAGAACAGTTATGTCAATGATTGTTTTAAGCAAACTGTATTTCCATATGTAAGTAAATTAAACTTGACCTTTACCTCACAACCTAAAAAACTTAATATCAGTTCCAAGAGGGTTGTACATCGAAATATGAAAGGCAAAACAACACAGAGGACCATGCTTCAGGATGGTAGCCCCTAGTCACATGTAGCTACTAGGCATTTGATATGTGAGTAGTCGTAAGTGATATGGGCTGAAAGTGTAAAGTATACACAGGACATTTAGGATGAAACAACAGATAACATCAGTATTTCTTACATTGAGTACAGGCTGAAATTATAGTTTGAATATATTGAAATAAAAAAAATATGATCCCGTTTCTTTTGGGTTTTTGATATGTCACAACTAAACAACTGAAAATTACCTGTGTGGCTTGCGTTTTTTTGTTCACATATTTCTTTGGACAGTGCTGACAGAAGAAAGCACACACTGAAAAATACTTTTAGGATCTCATGACGAGAAGAATCATTAATAAACAGAACTAAAGAGAGCAGAATCTACAAAGGAAAAATTTGAGAGATTTGACTAGATTAGAAATGAATTTGTGATCAAGAGACACTAAAACAGTTAAAAGGGAAGCAAAAAGAGACAGGTGGTATGTGCAATGCATGTAACTGACAACAGGCTCACATTCAGCATATTTCCAGAAGTCCCACATGTCAGTAAGATGTGACATGGGAGTCCCCCTTATTGAAGACCCCCAGAGGATGCCTGACACCATAGATGATACTGAACTGTTATTTCCTAATATACATTACCCAAGATAAAATTTAGTTCATACATTTTCACACTAATACCAAGATGCTATTTGCCTTCTTCAATGTTGACATCTGTGCTGCTGGTGCAGAGGCATCGGGGTAGGAGTGGCAGATCCTTCTTGAGAACAAAGGCTGGCACAGAGAGCAGGCCCACGGCTGCGGCGTTCCTCACTGCCACATGCTTGGCTTCTAGAACAAGGCCAGTTCCACTTAATGTCCTTGATACGATGAGATCATTAACTGTGTTAAATCTCAACCTGTAAGCACACGACTTTTGAGTACTGTTGTCTGTGATGAAGAAGGGAGTGTGCATAAAGCATTTCTGCAAGGGTCCTGAGAAAAGCACTTGCGCAGTGAACTGAACGGACCACTTCGTCCACTCAACATCAGTTTACTAGAAAGAATGCCTAACAGACCAAACTACGGTTATTCAGACCTGGATATTTGTCAGACATTTTCTCAAAAAAGGAGGAAATGAGCCTATTACTTCAAGGAGAAGAGCTGACACTATTGGTAGCCTATCATAAAATATCAGCTTTCAGGCAAAAAATTACAAGTTTGGAAAAGTTGTACCCATCACTGTCCACTTGAAAAAGTTTCCACATTTAAAGACTTTACTGATGAGATCCTGTGGTGATAGGAACAACTGTGAATTTTCTATATGGAATAATGGATGGTTTTGGTATCAGGAAGATCTGCCTGACTTAGCAAACCATTACCTAACCAGTGACCATCAGTGATGCTACAAATAAATCTCAAACATAATGTTAGAATAAATCTGAAGACCTGACAAACAAACAACAAAAATCATGGATGGGTAACAGATTCACTCAGAGTATAAGGGAGGCAATGGATTTTAAGTTAATAGAGTAGGAAAAATTCAGGTTCGACACTGCAACTAACCATCAAGAACTGTTACTTGCCAAGAAAAATATCCACAATTACCTGAAAAAGCTAATAAAATATATTCTTCATATACTTCAGTCAGAATGACCTATCACTGTGCAGAGGCATCGGGGTAGGAGTGGCAGATCCTTCTTGAGAACAAAGGCTGGCACAGAGAGCAGGCCCACGGCTGCGGCGTTCCTCACTGCCACATGCTTGGCTTCTAGAACAAGGCCAGTTCCACTTAATGTCCTTGATACGATGAGATCATTAACTGTGTTAAATCTCAACCTGTAAGCACACGACTTTTGAGTACTGTTGTCTGTGATGAAGAAGGGAGTGTGCATAAAGCATTTCTGCAAGGGTCCTGAGAAAAGCACTTGCGCAGTGAACTGAACGGACCACTTCGTCCACTCAACATCAGTTTACTAGAAAGAATGCCTAACAGACCAAACTACGGTTATTCAGACCTGGATATTTGTCAGACATTTTCTCAAAAAAGGAGGAAATGAGCCTATTACTTCAAGGAGAAGAGCTGACACTATTGGTAGCCTATCATAAAATATCAGCTTTCAGGCAAAAAATTACAAGTTTGGAAAAGTTGTACCCATCACTGTCCACTTGAAAAAGTTTCCACATTTAAAGACTTTACTGATGAGATCCTGTGGTGATAGGAACAACTGTGAATTTTCTATATGGAATAATGGATGGTTTTGGTATCAGGAAGATCTGCCTGACTTAGCAAACCATTACCTAACCAGTGACCATCAGTGATGCTACAAATAAATCTCAAACATAATGTTAGAATAAATCTGAAGACCTGACAAACAAACAACAAAAATCATGGATGGGTAACAGATTCACTCAGAGTATAAGGGAGGCAATGGATTTTAAGTTAATAGAGTAGGAAAAATTCAGGTTCGACACTGCAACTAACCATCAAGAACTGTTACTTGCCAAGAAAAATATCCACAATTACCTGAAAAAGCTAATAAAATATATTCTTCATATACTTCAGTCAGAATGACCTATCACAACAGATGGGAGGCAGAAGCAGATGAGAATCTAGCTGTTCTATTATCCAAAGTTAAGATTTGCAAAATAATGTATTCTACTCACTAAATTATTTTTGTTTTGGAAAACAGTTTTCTTAAAAGACACGCAGTTGTGAAGGAACAAAGCTGCATTAGACTCACAGACACTGAGAAGCGACAAGTGGTCACCAAGGGGAGGAGAGGAGGAGGAGGGCTGCTGAACCACTGTGATTTTACACTTGTAATTAAAAAATAATAAAATAAAATACATGCTGTTGATCTTAACTTGAAACCAGTTAATTACATAAATTCTGTGCCATTCAGCAATTCCTTCCCTACATGTATATACAACAGAATGTATAAATGTGTGGTCCAAGAGCAACATTTGTAACAACAAAATTCGGAAACATGTAGCATATTTAGAAAGGTGAATAGCAGACAGCAATGAAAATGAAGAAATTACAACATTTATGAATCTCAAACATAATGTTAAAATAAATCAGACACAAAGTAATGCATACTGTACAATGTCTATAAAGTTCAAAACGCCAGGAAAACTGGACAACAGGGTCTAAGGAGAGGGGCATGGTGGCATAACCATGCAGCCCCGGACATCAGGAGTGCAGGCTCTGTGGGGGAAGGGAGGGACTGGAAGGGCCCCCGAGGGGAGTGTGGGCTAAGGGCAATGCTCCTCTCATGAGACCTACGTGGTAGCATGAAGAAGTCCAAACAGATAAGTAATCACAGTTCAGCGACAAGGAGTGATTTCACCATTAAGAAGCAGACTCACCATTAAGAAGCAAGACCAAATTGATCCTTCTCTATGCTGACTGCACAAGGCCACCTAAAACATGCTAACACCAAGAGACCAGCAGTAAGAGGAGATGAAAAGGGAAGGAAAGTAGGGCAGGAGGGCTCCCACGACTATGCAAACAGTGAGCAAGCAAAATACCCTTTAGGAAGAAGGNGATGCTCAAAGAATGCAAGGCACCCTACGCAGACAAGCACCCCACCTCACCATGGCACAGGGACTACTCTCCCAAAGACAAGAAACTAGGAGAACTACATGTCTCAACTTACTGGCAGGTGTCTGTAATTCAGGACACTGTGGTGTTTGCCATGCCACCTTTCAATACACAAAACAGAAAACAGAACACCTGTGGAGGCAGACAAGAATCACCAATAGTGGAAGCCTTAGGAAGATTAAGGGGATGGTGCAGAGACAGAGATTAAGAGGTTACAGGGAGACTGGCCCACACTGTTCTTGTCTGGGCACTGAAACTTCTATCACATGTACCACAGCATCTGCTAATCAAATGCACACCACATGCACACATACATATAAATCTGCGGTAGTTAATGATATAGAGATATTTTCAAGGAGAGATATTTTAAAAATTAAGAAGCTCCTCTCCGAAAAGACAAAATTGACTTCTAGCAAGATTGGTTAGAAAAAGAAGAGAGAGATCAATTCAAGATGGCAGCATGAGAGGTGAGACAGAGAACTCATCCCAAAACCACATAGAGTATGAAAACAGTTAATACAGCAACAGGAAAGGCTGAACCAGACTGCATACACCTGGAGAATGGAGCCAACCTCACAAAACAGGGTAACATACCAAAACCTTGATCCGGCAGGACCCAAGCCCTTCCCCTACCCCAGCCCACTGGTGGGAGGAAGAGAAATGGAATGGGGAGGGAGCGGAGGCTTAGAACTACCCGACATCCAGCCCTGAAGGTCTGCTTTGGGGCACAAAGCTACATTGTGTGGTGCTCTGGAGGTTGGTGGGGTTGGGGAGTTGAGACAGGCGGAGTGTTTGAGAGACTGACATTCTGGCCATTTGTGGAGGATGGGAACCACATTCAGCCGCTCTGGCACAAAGGAAAGGCGGGCGGTCTGAGAGCCTTCCTAGAAGCGAGACGGCTGGTGAAGGGGTGGGGTTTGCACAGAGCTTGCTGAGCGGGAGAAGGGACAGGGGAACAAGGTTGTCTGGGTGCACTCTGGCCCGCAGGTTGGGAACTTTGAGGAGCTTCAGGAGCTCCATCCCGCTGGCTGGCTGGCTGCCCAGCTCCGAGACCCCCACTATGACACGCAGTCTTCAACGCCTTCTTCCTGCCTACCGGCACCTGCTCAAAAAACAGGCAGTCACTGCGCTGGTGTCAGGCCAGCCAGAGGGGGGCCCTGTCTAAAAGAGCTAGAGACACAAAGCACAGAGGCTCACACCTCTGTGCTCAGCCCACTGTCTCTGACACTGGAGATAGGCATGGCAGCTGGGAATCAGAAAACAGATATATCCTACCCCCAGAAACCAGGGTCACTCCCCTATGACCCCCAACCTCACTCCAGGGGCTGAGAAGCTCCAGGGACTGGAGCTACGGGGCACTAGAGGGCAGGCACAACACAGAAATATGAAACGTCAAAGAAACCTGGTTCAGACCAAAATCTCACAAACCCCAGAAAAAGGGCCAAATGAAACTGAACTCACCAACTTCCTGAAACAGAGTTCAAAATAAAAATCAAAAACATGCTCATGAAGGTACAGAAAAATATTCAAGAACTCAGGAACGAATTTAGGACGGACATTCAATCACTAAGAAATGCCATATGTGAAATGAAACACACAATGGAAGGATTTAAAAGCAGGTTAGATGTAGTAGAAGAGACAGTAAATGGAAAAGAAAAAAGAAAAGAGGAATACAAAGAGGCTGAGGCACAGAGAGAAAAAAGGATCTCTAAGAATGAAAGAATATTGAGAGAACTGTGTGACCAATCCAAATGGAACAATACGGGTACCAGAAGAAGAAGAGAGAGAAAAAGGGATAGAAAGTGTCTTTGAGGAGGTAACTGCTGAAAACTTCCCCAATCTGGGGACAGAGACAGTCTCTCAGGCCTTGGAGGTACATAGATCTCCCAACACAAGGGATCCAAGGAAGACATCAAGACATATAATAATTAAAATGGCAAAGATCAAAGATAAAGACAGACTTCTAAAAGCAGCTAGAGAGAGAAAAAAGATCACATACAAAGGAAAATCCATTAGGCTATCATCAGGTTTCTCAACAGAAACCTTACAAGCCAGAAGGGAGTGGCATGATATATTTAATGCAATGAAGAAGAAGGGCATTGAACCAAGAATACTCTATCCGGCAAGGTTATCATTTAAATTTGACGGAAGGATTAAACAATATTCAGATAAGCAAAAGCTGAGAGAATTTACCTCCCACAAACCACCTCTACAGTGCATTTTGGAGGGGATCCTATAGATGGAAGTATTCCAAAGGCTAAACAGATGTCACCCAAGGGATATAGACAAAGGGTACAGAATATGATTCAAACATACAAAGAATCGAGGAGGAAGAAAAAGGAGGAAAAACAAAAAAGAATCTTAAGGTTGTGTTTGTAATAGCACACAAAGTGAGTTAAATTAGATTGTTAGATAGTAGGGGAATTACCCTTGAACCCTTGGTAACCACTAATCTAAACCCTGCAATGGCAATAAGTACATATCTATTGAAAATCACCCTAAATGTAAATGAACTGAATGCACCAATCAAAAGATGTAGAGTCACTGAACGGAAAACAAAACAAGACCCATTTATACGCTACCTACAAGAGACTCATGTCAAACCCAAAGACATGCACAGACTGAAAGTAAAGGGGTGGAAAAAGATATTTCACTTAACTAACAGGGAGAGAAAAGCAGGAGTTGCAGTACTTGTACAGAAAATATTGACGTCAAAACAAAGAAAGTAACAAGAGACAAAGAAGGACATTACATAATGATAAAGGGCTCAGTCCAACAAGAGGATATAAATATTATAAATATCTATGCACCAAACACAGGAGCACCAACATAAGTGAAACAAATACTAACAGAATTAAAGGAGGAAATAGAATGCAACACATTCATTTTACGAGACTTCAACACACCACTCGCTCGAAAGGACAGATCAACCAGAAAGAAAATAAGTAAGAAGACAGAGGCACTGAACAATACACTAGAACACATGGACATAACAGACATCTACAGAACTCTACACCCAAAGGCAGCACAATACACATTCTTCTCAAGTGCACAGGGATCATTTTCAAGAATAGATCATATACTAGGCCACAAAAAAGAACCTCAATAAATGAAGAAAGACTGAAATTGCACCAACCAGATTCTCAGAAGAAAAACATATGAAACTAGAAATAAATTACACAAAGAAAATGAAAAAGTCCACAAACACATGGAGGCTTGATTAACATGGTCATAAATAAACAATGGATCAATGACCAAATAAAAACAGAGATCAAGCAATAAATGGAGACAAATGACAACAACAATTCAACATGGCAAAATCTGTGGGACACAGTGAAGGCCATGCTAAGAGGGAAACATATTCCAATAGAGGCCTACCTTTGTAAAGAAGAAGAATCCCAAATGAACAGCCTAAGCACACAATTAATGAAACTAGAAAAGGAAGAACAAATGAGGCCCAAAGTCAGTAGAAGGAAGGACATATTAAAGATTAAAGCAGAAATAAATAAAATTGAGAAGAATAAAACAATAGAAAGAATCAATGAAAGCAGAGGCTGGTTCTTCGAGAAAATAAACAAAATCGATAAACCCCTAGCCAGACTCATCAAGGAAAAAAGAGAGTCTACACACATAAACAGAATCAGAAATGAGAAAGGAAAAATCACGACGGACACCACATAAATACAAAGAATTATTAGAGAATGCTATGAAAATTTATATGCTAACAAACTGGATAACCTGGAAGAAATGGACAACTTTCTAGAAAAATATGACCTTCCAAGGCTGACCCAGGAAGAAACAGAAAACCTGAACAAATCAATTACCAGCAATGAAATTGAATTGGCAATCAAAAGACTACCTAAGAACAAAAGCCCTGGACCAGATGGTTTCATTGCTGAATTTTATCAAACATTCAGTGAAGACCTAATACCCATCCTCCTTAAAGTTTTCCAAAAAGTAGAAGAGGAGGGAATACTCCCAAACTCATTCTACAAGGCAAAAATCACTCTAATACCAAAACCAGGCAAAGACACCACAAAAAAAAGAGAAAATTACAAACCAATATCCCTGATTAACATAGATGCAAAAATACACAACAAAATATTAGCAAACCGAATTCAAAAATACATCAAAAAGATCATCCATCATGATGAAGTGGGATTCATATCAGGGATGTAACAACATTCAAAATCCATCAACATTATCCACCACATCAAAAAAAAGGACAAAAAGCACACGATCATCTCCATAGATGCTGAAAAAGCATTTGACACAATTCAACATCCATTCATGATAAAAACACTCAACAAAGTGGGTATAGAGGGCAAGTACCTCAATATAATAAAGGCCATAGATGACAAACCCACAGCCAACATCATACTTAACAGCTCAAAGCTCAAAGCTTTTCCTTTAAGATCAGGAACAAAACAAGGATGCCCACTCTCCCCACTTTTATTCAACATAGTTCTGGAGGTCCTAGCCACAGCAACTAGACAACACAAAGAAATAAAAGGCATCCAGATTGGCAAGGAAGAAGTCAAACTGTCCCTGTTTGTAGATGACATGATATTGTACATAAAAAACCCTAAAAAGTCACCTCTAAAACTTGTAGATCTAATACCTGAATTCAGCAAAGATGCAGGATACAAAATTAATACACAGAAATCTACTGCGGTCCTATACACTAACGATGAATTAGCAGAAAGAGAAATCAGGAAAACAATTCCATTCACAATTGCATCAAAAAGAATAAAACACTTAGGAATAAACCTAACCAAGGAAGTGAAAGACTTATACTCTGACAATGACAAAACACTCATGAGAGAAATTAAAGAAGAAACCACATCCTGTGCTCATGGATAGGAAGAATTAATATTGTCAAAATGACCACCCTGCCTAAAGCAATCTACAAATTCAGTGCAATCCTTATCAAAAT